ACTAGGCTTTTTTTCCCTAAAATTTGAGCTTTTGTTGTAGTAAATTAAAAATAGCTGTTGGGCTATATAATGTTTATTATTAGCCCTAAGATCATCACAGCAGTATTATTTAACCCACTAACAGAAACAATAAGACACAGAAACCTGTTAGATTTGTAATTGACTTATTTACCCTTGGACCAGACAGTTATTCCTACCTATGCTGTCTGAATCACCTCACCATCCGTCTCCAGCCCCATCCAATGCCATCCTCCTTAACCATCCTGTCTTTCATCTATAATCTTATAAATACTTTCTTTTTTTCTTCACCTAGACCTTTTCACGCCATTGTTGTAGTCCTTCCTCCTGGCCCCACGTGGCTTCTTTTCCAGGCTAGCCCATAGTAGCATCCTCTTTCTTCATTTCTTCCTGTCCCTCTGTTTCCTGTGATTCTCCTCAAGAGCCCAGGAACCCTAGCCACACCTAGCTCATTCTGCCCTGCCTAGGTATAGGCTGTTTAATGAACCAATCACGTAAAATGTTCTAGGCGGATTTACACAAACAAGGACGGGTGTATCCAGTGGGCATCTCGAGTGCCAGTAATTAGCATTAGACCAACTTCCAACTATTCTCCTGTTCTGTCTAAATAAAAGGCCATTTTTTTATATAGTAAGAATAATTAGGAAACAATTATAAAAAACAATAGTTAAGGTTTACATGCATAATGTCTAGTTTAAATGTATTTGGCAATCTTGAAGAAAATATCTATTCTATCTATGAGGGTCTAAGCTTTTTGTACCTAAGTTATTTTACAGTTTGTATCTATAGATCTGAGAACATCTATTTAGACCTAAAACATTTTTAAATTCCTAACCAACTAAGCTATTGTAATACTATAACTATCCGGTCTTCAACCTCATCAGAGACTTGAGAAGGACTAAAATTAATTACTTAAGTAATAGGAAGCACATGCTAGTAACCTCAAAAAATAGAAAATTGACAGAGATAGTTTGCTGCTCGAACAGCCACCCAAAGCTCTCTATAACATTGGAGCATCATCTTCAGCCTTCTGGCCCAGCATATTTGACAGACATATCTGTGAAGCAGGAATGATTTAGGACTTGCTTATCTTGTCTTGGCAGAGTTTGGCAGTTGACTTGTCCTGCATTTAAGCTTGCCAATTTTAGGCAGAATTCTGTCTGTTGTGAAACAAGGGCATTTTCTTTGCCCGTGAAGCGAGGGTATTTTCTTTACCCTGCTGGCTGGTTTGCCACATTTAAAGTCATCTCCATATAGAGGGTCTTCAATGCTCATCATCTTTTCTATTTCTTTACATTGGTATATGATATTTTCATTTTTTCATTGGCATATAGTATTTTGTTGCATGAGTGTAACATAGTGTACTTACCTTCTCTCTCTCTGATGTTGTTTCCTTTTCATTTACGCTTATCCTCCATCCCTCAAAAATTTGATCCTTTGTGACCTTTTAGGTCAAGGTCCCTTACTTGGGCTCAATACTGAGTATAGTGCGTATTATTAAACTTTATGTCTGCTCTTGGTCTTCATATTTAATGATTTTTGTTGCATTTATTATCCAGAAAATGAATGAGTTAGTCAGCTGTGGAAGCTAGCTTGGAATCTAGTGGTGTGAAACCCTTATAAGTTAGCTGACTTCAGCCCACTCAGCCTTAGCAAATGAGGAGCTTTTTAGATTTTTTTTCTTTTCTAGCTGCTGAAATAAAGCACTTTTCTTGGCCAGTACTGTCTCCTCCACTCATTGCTTAGACAGGGGATTTCCAAGTCAGCCATGTGGCTGGATTTCAGAAGATCAATTTGAAAGAAATGGGCTGGAGTGTGGCATGACCCTAGAGTGTTCATACTTCCTGGAGTATGCCCAATTCACCATTGGCCTTGTAGTCCAGCTTCATTCTGCATCAGAGGGCTACCAGTTGAGAGGTCTTATCACCAAACTGGAGATTCTCTAGGTCTGCAACTGGCTGGAGAACATATGTTCCTAAGGGGTGTGTGGGTAGTGTGGAGGCTGGAGTTATTGGGGTATTCTCAGAAGCACTTTCCAGCTGGGATCATGTTCTTTTTCATCGCTGTTATGGAGTTGAAACAACTTAAGGGAGAAAGGCTTTACTTTGCCTTATGGTTCCAAAAGGGGAGGTGAAGAAGGCAAAGCAATACCATAGGTGGCATGTAGACTTACAGAACATAGATTACTTAATAGATAAAACTGACTCCACAATGGAGTAAGTCATCTCCTGCCCTGCTCCCATTCATAGTAGACCATCATGCTCTCTATGCACTGAATACATCGGCCTGTGGGTTTAACCCAGTGGTGCTACAGTATATAAACTTTTATATATTTTGCTACTTTTAATTTAAATATGAAAATTGTGTGTTGTAAGTGATAGGCATTTGCTTCTCTCAAGTCCATGGCCTGCTTTCCTTACTTAAAATTAAGTAAGTTAAAAAAAAAACTCGTTGTATCAGTCAGTATGTGTTTCTATGTCAAAATACGAAATACTGGATAATGTGTGAGTAATAAAATCCTGTTTCTTACAAGTGTTGACATTATAGCTTCCATACTGAGGTATGTACTCTTTGCTTTCAAGGTAGCGTCTTGTTGCTGTGTTCTCACATGGCATACGAGAGAAAGGCAACAGGAGCCAAACACTGTAGGAAGCTCTGTGCAGAGAGACACTTCTATGATCTATTCCCTTCCGCCACCCCGCTCCTTCATAATATTACACTGGGGATTCACCCACAGCACCTGTTAACTTAGTAACAGGTGTCCACTGAGCACTTCCAGGCTCTGATTATGGAAAAGATGAGGTGAGCAAGACTAAAGAAAACCTCTTTTGTTGGGGAACTCACCATCTAGATGGGAGGGAGAAATGACTCACTCACACATGATGGAAGGCTAAAATGGCCATTTATCTAGATTTTGAGTGATTGGTGGAGGCTCAAAAAGAAGAGCTCTCAGACACTGTTGCTTTGGATATTTTTATTTTTGGTGAGAAACCATTGGCTTAAAGCATTTCCTAGGTAAATAAAACATGCCCCACCCCAACTTATGGAAAGTAGTCAACAATAGCTTTCCTGCATGGTATTGGAAGCATGTTTTCTCAAATTCCTTGCCTGAAATAAAGTGAATTAGTTAGAATTGGGAGGATACAATCAGGTCCTTCTCACGGTTTAATTAGACACATCTACTAAATCACTAATGGGATGGGGTAGAACTCAGGTGTGAATAGGATCATTTTAAGCACTTCAAGTTCCTGTGTGACTGAGAGAAACATTTTTATTCTGCACTGTAAAAAAAAGTTGTTTTTGTTTGTTTGTTTATAACTTACATCCAGAAGTTAACAAGGTTATTTTAGGAGTCTGGTGTACTCCCCAAAGCATTGTGTTCAAACTCTCCTTCCCTTGTCACCTACTTCTCATGGGGCAGTGAGGTGTCACTGTAAAGGGATCTTTGTTTACTTCAGTAACAAAGTGTTGGTCATGAAACCCCAAACTCAGTCTACTCCCTGAAGTATCAGAGAGCTTCAGAACTGAACTGAACTGAACTTGAGACCACTCCTTTCTTCCTTCGGACGGTGACCTAGTCCGAAGTTCCAGCTTGGAACTTGGAGCTGGGAGATCAGTTTAGAGATGTTTACTGTGAATTCTCTATTTGGTTCGAAGTTTGTGAATTTCCAGACAAGCCTGTCTTAGCGGGTACTAAATTAGCCTTGCAAGCTTCTTGTATGTCCATTTACTGTTAGTGCGATATCTAAAAATAGGGGAGCTGGATGGATGAGATGCCCACTTAGGCAGAACTGAATCAATACTTTCAGTTTTTAACTTTAAGCCATAATTTCTTTATCTAGATGTTATGGGAAAATGAACTAAAGTTCAAACTTGCTAATGAGGTTACTTGCTTTAAACCCTCAACACACTGCCTGCACTTTGCAGGTCCCTAATAAGTAATACTTTACTAGTTTTTTTAATAGTGAATTATACTGGAGACATATTTGTATTAAAGAATACATGAAGCTGTAAGTAGCCTCTAATGGTATCTTATTGTTAATTATGAATATTGGGGATGATGGCTGAATGAGTCAACGTTAATGTCACAGGATTTCTGATACAGCTGATAAACTGGTGAATGTTCGCTTGTCATCCCTTTGTTTAGCAGGATAGTTCTGATGTATTTTCCATTATGATTAGAGACGTTTTATGACACTTCAAAGAAGAAAGAAGTTTGAGAGTTGAGAGTGTGGACTTGTCAGTATAGTCAAGACCCGGTGCCAACACTGCGCCCTGCACCATGGACCCTGTACCTTGGGCACTGCAGATGCTCACAGAGCATCCTGAGGGTCCTGTTGGCATGTGGCTGAATCAGGATAGTTCATTCCTTAAGAGAACATTGTGTCCCTGTGTGTGCTTAGATAAGACCCGCCTGTAATGAACCTTCCTACTTCATGCCATTCAAGCTTGTTCCTGTATCTTAAGGAGTGCTTTATGAAGCCACGCGTTCCTATGAGTGATCCCCTACCCTCATGGCTCCTTCACTGCTTCATGTTAAAAGCATCGGCCTAGTAACAGGTGAAGTGCTGGACTGAAGATTGTGTGGGTTCCTGGGTCAAGGACTCTGGTTTTGACATGCTTCACTTCAGTTTCCACTTTACCTCTTTCTTTGTAAAGGGAGAAATTTATTTGTTTTTTTGAGCTCATATATAGCAGTGGATGCTGTTCTTGTTTTTATTTCAGTGTGTAATTTTCATGTGTAAATGATCTATGGTTTAAAACAAAACAAATCTCTATATTTAGACTATGTACTTTTAGGCTTGATAGCCAGATTTTGTCATTTTTCCACATGGGTTAGTAATAGATTCACACAAACTGTTTTGATGGAATAAATTGACTTTTGTAATTATGTGGTGTCTCACAAGAATGTTATTGGCATGAGAAACACCATGAAGTTGTGCCTTGAATAACCTTTTTCTTCTTAAAACCTCTCCATGTAGCTTTCCAACCTAAAGCTTGTGTCCTGAAATCTGAGATTTGACCCAGATAAGATGATGGGATCCTCCTGTGATTTCGAGCCATATCGTACTTAGATGAAGGCGGGACTTCCAGGCTCACTGAGAGCTTGCTACTGTACGCACACTTCTTGCTTGTTTGGCACGGGTGACCATGCCGTCTCTGCCTCAAGAAGCAGGTAAGTGGGTCGGCGGAGCCATGCTAGGGGCTATGAGTGTGTTTAGAATACGTGATGTCTGAGCTTTGAAAGGGTCACTGTTCATGGTTTTACCATGCTGGGACAGCATGTATGTTTCCAGTCACCATGTTTTTATTTTAATGACAACTGTTCATATAAACAGGATCCTCTCCCTTGGATCTGAAAACGGAATTACCGTATCATCAACGCACAATGAACAGCAAAGTCAGAAAAAAGAAAAAGAAGGGAGTTATTACAGCAAATGTTTCTGGGACAAAGTTTGAAATTGGTGAGTTTCTTTAGACTCCTGCACTCTTTTGTAAATGTCGGGAAAACTGCCTTGACATGAAAACCAGTGTGGAGTTCTGTGGCGGCAACCATCTTTATGTAATGGATTTTTAAATTGCTTCTACAAAATTTCTGACAGGTTAGAAGAATTCTTTTCCTGTGTAGTGGAGGCTGATCTGCTTTTAAAAGGTGCTAATTGATTTCTAAATTTTCATTTCAAACAAAAAAAATGCATTCAATTAACTTGGCTGAGAAAAGGTGTAGGTCTCATACCCAACACTGGATTTTTATGTAATGTTCAGAAAACTGTCATCAGCTATCTGAGCTCTGAAGTACATCATAAAAAAGACTTATGGCTGATCTCATAAAGATTGGTGATATACATAGAATATATTTTTTCAACCATTCTTCTGTAATCTCAATGTGGCCAGACTCACTGCTGTGTGTATACGTGAAGATCCCAGACCTAAGTAGCCAGCTGAGCTGCCCCCAGCACTGGCAGGAGTTGTTCTTGTCTCAGTTTCTTGTGTGTAGGTCTGGTCCCCTGCAGGCATTCTGTCCCTGTTTCCACTTTCTGCTGTGAGCCTGTTGGAAGAGGAATCCTGCAGGCCCTGATGCTGAGGCTTTCATCCTCTATATGTGTGCAAATGGCACACTTGCAGCAGAACCCTGAGGAGGCTATCATGGCCGTTGATCTGTCATGTTGGAGAATTGCCCTTTTCTCAAGTCTTATGTGCATATTTGACGACACAAGATATCGCCATAACTCCAAGCTTCATTCTGCTCCTCTTAGAAAGCAGCTCCCTCCTCAAGGCCTCTTCAAGTGTCCCTATGTTCCAGGCATCACTGCATACAGTCAGCTCTTCCTCCAGCAAGTAGACAAGAGCAGTGATGGCTTATCAGGTTTTTTAAAATCTATTTTTCCAATTCTTATTATTAGCATTTACTACAATTTATTCAATTTGTATCACAGCTGTGTCCTGCTCCCTCATCTCCTCCCAATCTCATCTTCCCTCCCTCTTCTCCCCCTATGCCCTTCCCTTAGTCCACTGATAGGTGATGTCTTCCTCCCTTTCTGTTTGACCCTAGTCTATCAGGTCTCATCAGGACTGGTTGCATTGTCTTCCTCTGTGGTCTGGCAAGGCTGTCTGGCAAGGGGGCTAGGTGATCAGGAAGCCTGTCACTGAGTTTATGCCAGAGAAAGCCCCTGCTCCCCTTATTAGAGAACCCACTTGGAGACTGAGTCTATTGGCTACATATGAGCTGGGGTTTTAGGTCCTCTCACTGCATTGTCCTTGGTTGGAGTATCAGTCTCTGAAGGTCCCCCAGCTTTTTGGCTCTGTTGGTCTCCTTTTGGAGCTCCTGTCCCCCCCCCAGGCCTTTCTATCTCCCCCTCCTTTCATAAGATTCCCTGCACTCTGCCTAAAGTTTGGCTATGAGTCTCATTCTCTGCTTTGATACCTCGATCAGTAGAGTCTTTCAGAGGCCCTCTGTGGTAGGCTTCTGTCCTATTCCCTGTCTTCTTCTTCTTCTTCTTCTTCTTCTTCTTCTTCTTCTTCTTCTTCTTCTTCTTCTTCTTCTTCTTCTTCTTCTTCATGTCTATTGCATTTGCCCTTCTGAATAAGGATTGAGCATCTTCCCTAGGGTATTCCTTGTTGGTTAGCTTCTTTAGGTGTACAGATGTTAGTATGTTTATCCTATATTACATGTCTAATATCCACTTACGAGTGAGTATATACCATGTGTGTCTTTCTGCTTTTGGGTTACCTCACTCAAGATCTTTTTTAGTTTCCACCATTTGCCTGCAAATTTCATAATTTCCTTGTTTTTAAATAGCTGAGTAGTATTCCACTGTGTAAATGTACCACAATTGCTGTATCCATTCCTTGGTTGAGGAACATCTAGGTTGTTTCCAGCTTCTGGCTATTACGAATAGAGCTGCTACAAACATGGCTGAGCAAATGTCTTTGTTGTATAATTGAGAATATTTTGGATATATGCCCAGATGTTGTATAGCTGGATCTGCTTATCAGTTTTACACCGGGGCTAAGTCAGCCAGACAGTTCACACTGCTTCTCGTGTGTTAGTGGAACAAGGTGTAAAGAAAACAGACACAGAGCATGGAAGCAGTGCTACATGGACACCCACTTCTTTTAGGATACGGAATTCACCAGCATGCAAAGGTTACCCCAGCTGTATGCTCATCTTGATTTTAAACTCAAAATTTGTTGAAAGAGAAATGCCAACATGTCAACTGTAATGTCTAGATTAAAGAGGAGCGCATGTAGTTTGTGGTCAAAAGGACACCCTGAGGGGAATAATCTTCAGTGGGACCTCAGGGTTGGGAGCAGTAGAGAGCCTGTCTCCAAGTCTTCCCCTGTGAGTTTGGTTTCACTGATCCATATCCTGAATAAATAGAGCTGACTCAGCTACATGGGAAAGTAACTTGAACTGGAAAGGCAGATGGTGCACAAGAGACCTGGTGGTGAAGGATATTTTTACCTTTCCAATTTTATGCCTGGTTCCTGGTCATGGAAGAGTCGCGAGGGTGAATGTCTGTCTGCAGAGCTGGCTCAGCTGTCTGTGCTTTCAGTGTGACAAAGCCACTTTCTAAGCCACCAGCAAGCACTGTGTTTCTGGTAATTCTGACCAGCTGAAACTAAGGCTCTTTGGTGTAACCTAATCCAGTTCCCAGCTACTGTGGAGGATGATTTCATCCTAGGTCAAAGTGCTACCATTAATAGAAAGAGCTTATGCTGTAAGGTGTGGGTAGTTTACAGCTGGAATACTGTGGATACACGCACACACATTTCCATCACGAATGTCTTCACAGTGATTTAGCTCTGGTGTAACTTAGTCATTTCCTTTTAGTTCGTTTAGTAATAGATGAAATGGGATTTGTAAAAACTCCAGATGATGATGAAACGAGCAACCTTATCTGGTGTGATGCTGCCGTCCATCAGGAGAGAATTACAGAGCTGCAGAACTACCAGGTAGGAACTACAGCAGCAGTTATTGTCAGGGGAAAGTTACACCGATTCCATCGTGGTTTTCTTTATTTAGCTTCTTAATCTGTGGAGATAGCAGCTTTCAGTTACCTGGTCAGCCTCTCTCATTGCTAGTCAGTTGTGATGACTCTTCCCATGAAGCCTGTGTCATTTCCAAACTTAAGCTTTAGCTTCTTTCTTTAAAGTAGTACTGATAGGAAAAAGTTCTATGCTGCTTTGAGTTACGTACACCTTAAGATGAATGACAGGGAATAGATTGTGTCTTGATGGACAAAGACCTTACAGTATCAGCTCAATGCATTCTGACCTTTATGTCTATAGTACAATACAAACATGTTTAGAAGAAATGGAAAGCAAATGGAATAGACTTCAGGCAATCTGAAACAATTGACATTTGCCACTTCCCCTCCCTTCCTGTCTCTCCCCTCTCTCCCTCTTGTCATCCTTGACTCCCCCTCTCTTTCCCTTTTCCCTCCTTCTCCCTCATCCCTTCCTCATTACTTAGATTCAGAGAATGAAAGCATGGAAGAACAGATGGAGTAAATATTTTAAGTCCCATCTTATCAATGTCCGTATTTATGTTTAGTATTCCCAAAGCAGTTTGGATACGGAATTGTCACTTATCCAACACAGAACATTAGAACTTTATTATCTTTCCCAGATTTCTTAAAAAAAAAAGACACAATTCTATTCTCTGATTATCATATGCTTTAATTTCACAAGTTAATTGTTAGCTGTTTAATTTTAAATCCTTTACCTTTGTAATTTACAATTTATTAGAACACAAATCTCAAAGGATATAACGGCGTTAAAGTATAAAAGAGTATATTCATTGATTCTATAAATGTTAATGCTTACCTTTTTATTTTTCAGAGAATCAACCATTTCCCAGGAATGGGGGAGATCTGTAGGAAGGATTTCTTAGCAAGAAATATGACGAAGTAATCTTCATTTTCTTGTAATAGAGAAGACCTGAGCAGCTGTGCCTGTGGTGGTATTATCTTGTGTGCGGTTGTATTCAGATGGATGCTAGTCAGATGTGAGAGGGACCTTCAGAGCTAGAGTGGCATGGATGCTCCCACAGTTCTAGTCTCTAACTTTGCACGGGAGGTAACCGAGGCCCAGAGAGATGCCTGGGTTGCACAAAGTCAGACAAACTGCTAACAGTGGAGCTGGACCGTGACTTGGTTTCAGAATCTCAAGATCCCTCTTAATTATACCTTGATGGCTCTATAGAAACAAAGCGATAGATACTCATTCAATTTTTGGTTAAACCTTATGAGAAGTCATTTATTTTATTATTTGTGTGTTTGTGTTGACTGTCTATTTAAAATTCATATAACATTGTCTACAGTAAAAGGCTAAATATTGGTATTATTCATGTGGCTGTTTATAATTGTACATCTATTTATACAATAATTTTTATATCTAACTTATCAACAAAAGCTAATAATTTTTAAGTATTTGTGAGGTAAGTAAGATATATATTCACACATGTAGATGAAAGGTACACCATGGCTAGTTTTAAAGATTATTGTTCCAACTAAAGTCTTAACTCAGCCTAATTTCAGGTCATTGTTAACTATAATAAACACATGTAAAGGTGTTGAAGGAAAAACTGCAACACTAGCACTAATTTTATTTAAAAATTCAAATTATCAAACCAGTCAATAGTGTTCCATTTTTGAATTGAGATTATCCAGTTGTTGGATTAACAAGCACTGAGCAATTGCAGTTGGAAATTATGCTATTACCTTTATCATAGTGATAATGTCGTCGTATTTGTGTGCATGCGGATGGAATCGAGCCAGAGAAAGGGAGAGGGGGCGGGGGAAGGAGGAAGGGAGGGGCATAGGTGCACTGCGCTGTTCATATGTTTGAGTGTGTGGGGCAGTGCAGCTCCTGGAGACCAGAATTGTCCAGCTCTGTCTTTCTCTGCCTCGTTTACTACAGACAAGGTCTCTTACCGAACCTGGAGCTTGATTAGTGGGTAGCCCTAGTGATCCTCCTGCCTCTACTTCCCCGTAGTACTGGGGTTCTCAGTGCATACATGTCTGCACCTCAATATTTACTTGGGTCTGGGGGTTTGAAGTCATGTCCACATGCTTGCACAGTGAGCACTCTTACCCTCTGGCTTATCGCCCCAGCTCAATATCACACACACACACACACACACACACACACACGCACATCACACATCTCACACACACACACACCACATATACCGCAGACACATACATACCACAGACACAGCACACAGACACACCTCCCCCAGGAATATCTGTGGGAAAGTCCTTGACATACGTTAACTAAGTGAAGCTGTTTCACCAATTGTTGACACTTTGTTCTCAGCCTTTGCTTTTGTGCACTGTGATTGCATTTTAGTTTGTAGTAACCTTTTTTGCAGACTATACTCATCTATAAAAGATCACTACACATTTAGAAGAAGAAAAATGTCTCTTTGAACATATTTTCTTACGGGCTGGAAAAATGCCTTTTGGGATTATTAGGCACTCATCCAGAGGGACCCAGGTTTGACTCCCAGCACCTATGTGACAGCTCACAGCTGTCTGTAACCCCAGTTCAAGGGGATCTGACGCCTTTTTCTAGCCTTTGCCAGACACACACATGGTGCACAGATAGAACACCCATATATATTTAGTTTAAAAAGTTTAAAATGAAAACATTATCTTTAATAATATTTAAAAATCATCATTTTTCATTGTATTGGGAATTTATTTATAAGTATAAAATATTTAATATTTTGGATCAATAAAAAAGAAAGCATATTTTTTCTAGGCCTAATGGCATAAACTTGTAATCCTAGATACTTAGAAAGATGAGATAGAAGAATTACAAGTTCAAGGCCTGCGTGGGCAACTGATGAGTCCCATTTTAAAATAAAAACTACAAAGAAGGCAATGGGTGCTGCTTAGTAGTGGAACACTTCGGTCACGTGTGAGGCCTTCTGGTCAGTCTCTAGTACCACCAAAATCAACATCTTACATTCAGCATTGTCATCACAGTAGGCAGCATAATTCCAGCAAAGGCAGCACCACTGGAAGACGTCTCTGGCTGTCCAGTCACATGAACTGATGGTTCATGCAAATAAAACTTCTGTGGACTCAGAGACTTCATGTGGTTGTCTCAGGAAAGTGGCTCAACTCTAAAACAGTGGCATAGAAAGAAGTCAGGAATCACTGTCTATGATGACTTAGGAGGAATTGGGGGACTGGAACACCAAGAATCAATGATACTGTAAATGGTGTGCTTCCTGAACGCTCCATGAGACGTAGTGACTGATACTTGCCTACTCTTTATGCCTTAAGTCCGTCATCACATTGTCTGTAAGCATAGCCTGTCTGTAAATTCGCTGGAGGCAGAGGATATGCCAATTCACTTTACTTCACCAGTGCCCAGCATAGTGTCTAGTCAAATAAGTTTCCATTGTATTATTGGTACTACACACCAAGTTGGTGTGTAACAGGGCAGAAATTCTTGTCTCTTTATTTTGTTGATATCTCATTTGAGCTGTTGTCTAGTACACAGTCATTTTTGGAAGTAGAATAATAAGTAAAGGACTATATGAAAGAAAAAAACTTAAGCCTTCATTGTATAATTGTTACAATAAAAATATTTATTAAGTTTGAATATAATTTATATATAATTTATGTTTTAAAATATAATTTATGTCACCTCTTGCTTCTGATTTGTAGAATGATCAAGGCTCAGCCTCTGGATTATGCTTTTGTTCCTCGAACTTGGATTTTCCCTTCTGAATATACTCAATTCCAAAATTATGTAAAAGAATTGAAGAAAAAACGGAAGCAGAAAACTTTTATAGTAAAACCAGCTAATGGTGCAATGGGTCATGGGTAAGCTAATTTTTTTTCTGGAAAATATAAACATTGAAAAATGAGAGAGAAGATGTACACATAATTGCCATTGTTGAGTACTATACTGGAAAACAGTAAGTTTCTAAATATCATGTTTTTATGACTAAATTATCCAACAGACTTTAGTAATCCAATTAGAAATAAATGAAGACTTGTGAGACTTTAGAGAAATAATACCATATGGGGAAATGTTCTTATTTCTTCATAAACACAATACATGCTTATAATAATTTCACTAATACTGGATAATAAGATAAATTGCTGCAGTAGAGCTACATTAGCTTGGAGAACAAAGTACAAAGAGTTGTCTTGTCATAATGAGAATGCTTGAGGTGAAATGTATATATCCTTGCTTTATAAATAAGTATTTTCCCTCTGTAGCCATGGTAACCACACGGAGGCTGCAAGGATACGTTTTAAGCCAGCATACCAAAGAACTAGACAATTTATCCAGGAATAGAAGGCACAACATAGCATTTTTGATTCTCCTTGCTTATGTTTAGTTTTCTGTAGTGCACTTTTTAAGAGAAAGTTGGCTGAGGCCATATTTAGCAAAATGCATGTGAATCATTTGAATCTTTTTCTTTTTCTTGCTATAGTGCAAAAGATCTTTGGAAATGGTAGCTGCCACGTTAAATTATTATTTTTTAAATCACTTCACATGATGCACTGATTCAGCCATACATTATCTTTAAGCATGCTTGGTCACGTACAGGTTAGGAAATGCCTTAGTGGGGACTGTGTGTCGCTTGTTTTGCAGCATGTTAACTTCCTGCTGTCTGTTAGTGGAAAGGAAATTGGAGGAGTGATGGTTGGCATATGTTTCTCAACTTTTGTGTTAAATTAAGAAGTATGTTTATTGATACTAGTAACATATATTTGATAGCAGCGTAATGGGAAAACTTTGCGGAAAGGGCATCTTCCACAGCATGGAATTATTTGATGTAATATAATAGTGAGTGGGTAGAGGGGACCCTGCTACCCGTTGACTATATTCACTTCCTTGCTGCTCTGTCTAGTGTCCAGTGCTACAAAAGACTGCAGCTACCATAGCTAAGCCATTTCAATCTTCATTTTGATCACGTTTTGCTTGCTAAATTTCATAGCTCATCACAGCCGTATTTTTAATGTTTACATTCTTGAGATACTTGCTTATCATACAATATCCCATCTTGTCTCCTGTCTGTCATGACAATTTTTGTTTTGTTGGATACAACGACTTTAGAATACTGCTTGCTTTTATTTTTTCCATCATTTTAGTTTACACCTCTTGTATCTTTAATTCTAAAGGAGCTCTTTTTTAGATGACATTGCAGTTAGACCAATTTCTAAACCCATTTCTTGAGCCCCATTTTCCAAGCCATTCTGTTGGTGTTTGATTTAGTTATTAAAAGAGTGGTTTCCATCTGTCATTTTGCTATTTGTTTTATGTTTCTAGGTCATGCTTGTTATATTTTATGTAGTTTAAATTTTTCTTTATGATTGCACTCTTCTGTGTAAATACTTATTTCTTGCATATCCCTTAAATTTATTCATTTCCTTTATTGTAGATATTTTGTGTTAGGTAAAGCAAAGCAATCTGAGTCCCTCTAGAAGGTAGGTCAAAGTAAACACACAGGAATTGGGTCTACTTGACTCACTCTAGAACCAGGCTCTGGGCTGGGAGAAGGTTGCTGTTAGAACCACTGCCAGACTGGGATAGAGTGATGAAAAAGAACTAGTTAAAATTCCAAAAGCTCTGCCACATAGAATTTGGCTGCTGTATTTTCCCCTTCTCTTCCTTTCCCCTCTATTCTTCCCCCCTCGGTGGTAAAATGTTCTCTGGGTGTTGCAGGCATCTGTTGAGCTTCTGTTCCTGCATAGATCTGCTTCTGACATCACCCCACTCTTGCTCTTGTGCAGGGACAGGATTTTGGAATTTTCTGTAATACTGTTCTCTTTCTGAATACATAAATGACATTTTCCCTGACATCTCAAGCTCCATATCAAATTATTTTTATTTGTTTTCTTTAAACTTAGGATTTCATTGATAAGAAATGGGGATAAAATTCCATCTCAGGATCATTTGATAGTTCAAGAATACATTGAAAAGCCTTTCCTAATGGAAGGCTACAAGTTTGATTTACGGATTTATATTTTGGTTACATCCTGTGATCCATTAAAGATATTTCTCTACCATGATGGGCTTGTGCGAATGGGGACAGAGAAGTACATCCCACCAAATGAGTCCAACTTGGTAAGTGACAACAGAGAACTTAGTTATCACTCATTTGTTCTATGTCTGCCTTGAAATCATCTATTATGTGTGAGAACTGTATGAATCAGAGTTCCTTCTCTGAAGAACTTGAAAAATCCTGTGCATAAATAAGACAGCATTTGCCTAACTCAATGGAGAACATGATTAGTTCTTTAGGAAAAGATGCTTTCTCTGGTTTGACTTCTGAGTTTTCGGATCTGTGCAGTGACTCCTTTAGAAGCCACTGCACTAGAAATAAAGTCAGCATGGTTTAGGAAACAAAAATGTGCAGGAATAATGGAGTTCCTCTTCTTATGCGGGCACTGACATTTGCTGAGCTTTGTGTAGAAGATACAGAATGAACATGTAAACATGGAAGAAAGTATGTAGATAACAGCAACAGTTGTCAGCATCAGATTATTTTATAGGGCAGTAGGGTTCTAAATCTGCATTGGCCACATGTGTAGTCTAGGAAAAAATAAACAGTTTCTGTATGCATTGAGAGGTCTAGTAAATGAACCATTTTGTATGTATTTTTCCATTAAGATATTCTTTGTACAGCAATTAATTTTCATAATATTGCAACTATAATTTTCCATGAAGGTAATAAAACATAGTATATTGCTTATATGTGTCAAATTGTAATTTGTCATTTATACTTAAAGATTTATTTCACTTCAAATCTTATATTTTTAATATACTGACTATAGGGAAAAAATCACTATTAGTGTTTTTCAGTTTTTCAAAGGTCCAGTATTATTCTCTTTCAACATTCGCGTACACTTCTAGTAAGACTGATCATTTTAAAATTCAATAGTAGCTGATCCTCAAAGTTGTTATCAGTAGTAAACTGAAATTTTACATGCCTGGGAAGGAAAAGATGAGGGAACTATGAAAATATATGGAAAAGACATTGTAATGGAAAAATGTTTAATTTATAGTCACAGAATTTCTAACTTTCCGCAAGTATGTTTGTAGTATACTATGTCTCCTGGAATTGTTCTGTTTTCGAAGAAACATAAATGCAGCATGTGACTTCATAGCAACAACAGTCTATTGGATGTAGAAAATAAAGCAAGCAATTGGAATGCCTGGTGGCAAGCTTGAATGTGGGTCTCTGCATTTGAGGGAGCCATAGCAATGCGTAGTGGGCCCTCTTTCCAGGTGGAATCTAACGTCAGAAGAGAAGACCATGGAAAAAGCTAGCCAGGCTCAGGATTGAGAGGAGCACCACACAAAAGAGAGGATTGGGGAAAGGACATGAAAAGTCTGTGGGAAGCAGACAAGTTCAGTTTGGGCAAAGTACAGACCAGAAAGAGGAAGACTATGTCTGTTTGTTCAGAGGTGAGCACAGAGGCCCCCAGAAACAAGGTCTTTCCAGATGTTATAAAGGACTCTCTAGGTAAGACTTGAGGATTCACCTCGATATACACTGAAAGGAGAATAAGAGTTGGGGTTTTAAGAAGCCCATTTGGCCTGCAGTACGGGGAATGAGGCGGGAACAGAGCATGCAGGAGGAAATAAAAGAGACCTGAAGTATGGGATAACAGACAGTCTGGGCCATGTAAGGTGAGAGGTATTTCTGAAATTAGGGCATGGATTTGAGATCTATTTAAGGTAACATAGATAGCGTTGTTACAATTTGGGGATGGGCTGGGTTTGTGGAACGAGGGAAGTCAAAGAAACCTGGGGGTGTTAAGCCTGGACAGTTGGGAGAGTGTGCTGTACTCCCATGGCAAGGGACTTCAGAAGGTTTTGTGGAAAATTAACATATTTGGCCTTGACCTTCAACTGGATCTGTTCCATAAGGATTTGGCTATTCATGGAAGAACCATCTGAGTTATGGACTTAACTGGGACAGGCCAGCTTTTAGGTTACAATTTACATACTTGAAACGGGTAAGAGAAGGCCATTTTTGTGTGAGGTGATAGTGTCTAGGGATGATATTGGATAGGGTATGGCTTCAGAGGTTCTATTCTGAAATACTAAGCTGTGTATACATAGTACTAGAGGAGCATAGTGAGCTAGGGAGAAGAGATGTAAATGTCTATGCCTATGCCTCCTTTTGATAGTTGCTTTTGAACATGTGAGCTTCTAGCTTTGGTTTCCACATGTGTAGAAAAAGGTAAGTTCTATAAATGCCATTATCTATCATTTATCTCCATGATTTCATTATTAAATCCACAGGAAGTTGTGTGAAAAAAAAAACCTAAAATTTTTATGTAAACTGATTGCATAATTTTGTAAAAGATTATTTTTAAACAATGAAATAAAAGTCAAAAATGTTTTTTGTTGCATGGTTCTTTTTACTTCAATTCCTAATTTTTAAAACAGTGAATGTGCCTTTTTAATAGATCGTGTATTTCTATAGGAAATGATATTGTAAACTTAATTATAGTTATTAATGAATTTATGAACATCATTGGATGTAATTTGGTTCATGGCTACAATAGAGATTATGACAGGGAATTTGAAATGTTGAAATACAGCATTTGTTTTTGTTTGCTTTGCTTTGCTTTGCTTTGCTTTTTTGAGACAGGGTCTCATGTAGCCTCGGCTGGCCTAGACTCACTATGGAGCCAGAGATGAACCTGAGCTCCTGATTCTCATCTCCATCTTCTAAATGCTAGAATTACAGACACATGTCAGCATGCTGACCCTCTGTCACGAGTTGTCCATCCTTGAAAGGTTTAGTATGTACCAATCCAGCTGGTTGAGCCTGTGATAAAACAGTGCTAGGAAGAGCGACCCTGTTTACCACCTGCAGATTTTCCTGGAATCCTTCCTGCTCTACGTTCTGCCGTTGATCCTTACATACTGCGTAATGAATGAGAAGACGGATTCTCAGGGGTAATAGGCATACGGATTAATAAGCAAGGAGCTGGGATGACTGTCTCTGCTTATTTGCTTCAAATATTTTATTTAATATACTGACCTATGGTGTTGTAGTAAAGATGAAATGCCAGAAGGATATAGTAGGATAACAAGAACCAAAATGATAGTTGTGTGTGTGTGTGTATTCATTTTGATACAACATTTCTATTTAAAAGAATCTTGGAGTACAGGATTAAGGAAAAGTTTGGAATTAAAGATAGACTTCATTAGTTTATGCTAACTTGATGGGGAAACATTAGATGTTTACTGAGAGTTAAGAAAAGTTTTAAATTTTGGATTCTTTTCGAGTTAACTTAAAGAAAATACTACCAACAAACAAAAGAGCTGGGTGTGGTGGCTGCCTCATAGGCTGTGGCAAGATTATCATGAGGTTCAGTTTAGTGTGGGCTACACAGTGAGTTCTGGTAAGTTATCCGGTGATACCCTGTTCTAAACCAGCAACCAAAAACCAACCAACCAAAAACCAAACACGCTCCATCTGACACAGCAAAATAACACCAAACGTCTAAAACAGAAATACCACAGATGGAGCCAGGTCCAGCTCACACTTGTCCTTCAGACATCTGTGCAGCGTCATCACATATGCGGTGGCCGCCTGCTGGCACCAGGGGCACTGCCTTCCAGGGAGTCCAGGTGCCCTCTCAGTCAGTGTTGGGCGAGGGAACAGATGAGTTTTGGGTACCCTGCTTCCTCTCTTAAAAGATGTAGAATGTTTCTCAGAAAAATCCCTTCCTCAAATAGATTTGAATAAACAATGAATGGGGCCATGCACTGAAAAGAAATGGGCTAATGAAGGGCTTGGAGTAGTTTTTCTCAGCAAAGTTTAGGGTCACTTTTTAATTTCGGCCTTTGTTGTCATTCGTTGGTACTTTCATTGTAGAGATCATAAATAACTAGCAAAGTCATTTGGCTAGTACTAATATTTTTAGTCCTCTTAAGGGAAAAGTGGCACTTTATTTCACTAGAAGAGATTTAAGCAACCAAAATCATTAGTTGGTATAGTTTGGACGGTTATGTTTTTAATTATTAAATACATTAACCGTACATTATAATGGGCTTCATTATGACATTTCCATATATGGACATGATGTATTTTGATTATATTTCCCCCAGTACCTTCTCGTCTCTTCCCACTCTTTTTGATACTCCCTCTCTTCCTAAATAGCCTCTTTTATGCTTTTATGTCTTTTTATTTCTTTGGTTTCATTGGGTTCCTTACAGGGCCATGAGGAAGGGCTTATTTACGGGACCACAGGCGCTTTACTAGTGTCTGCACCGCTGAAGAAAATACCTCTCTGTCCTACCAGCAACCACTTCCTTTCTACAGGTCCCTGGGTGAGGCAGATTAGGACCTCCATGAATGGACACTGACTCTTCTAATCTTCTGGATCTTGTTTAACTAATTACAGCTTTTGTGCAGTGGCCATCCTATGTCCAGAAAACAACATTCTACAGTGTTTATTCCCTTCCTCCAGCTCTTACATTCTTCCTTTCGCCCCTCCATAATGTCCACTAAGCTTTAGAGGGGAATTGTAGATGTTCCATATACGGCTGAACACTCAGTTGTCATGTATGCTCCTATCATTGACCAGTTATAAGTTTCTGTGGTTGCCACGGCCATTCTATAACGAAGCTTCTCTGAGCAAATTTGCCAGCAGCGCTAACCTATGGGCACAAACATCCTTAACTTAAAGACAGTTTGACCAGGTTTACAGCACCAGACATGGATTCCCTGCTTTGTAAGGGACCTTGAGTCAATCAGGATGTGGTTGGTTATCCCATTACTGACTTGTCACTATTGCAACAGTAGGCACATGCCACCTGGTCATTCGTAACCCCACAGCACACATAGCACCTTCCAACACCATGGAAATAATCGAGCAGGAAGAATGCTTTCAGCTTATTTCTAGTTGCATTTCTCTATTTCCTGTAAGCAAAACATGCAGCTTCTGCAGCAGCCATGTCTAGTTTTGGTGGGCACTCAATGGCAGTAGCGACTGCCTGGATTGTTTTGAAGGTTACTGGGCCCTCACAGGCCAACATTTTGCTGCTCACCCTCAAGGCTGTTTGTTTGTTTGTTTTTAAATCAGCCTCTGGCTTCTAGCAGAAGCTTTATCCATGGATGCTGGTTATCTCTGAGGTTAAGAACATTTAAGTTTCATCAAGTCTTTGAGGCTCTCTTCCCTGTGAAGCCACATGGTTGTGGCTCCTTTAGGTGGTGACACTTTGTTGTTCTTCTTACAGAGCCAGTTGTACATGCATCTGACCAACTACTCTGTGAACAAACATAACGAACGGTTTGAACGAGACGAAACTGAAGACAAAGGCAGCAAACGTTCAATCAAGTGGTTTACAGAATTTCTAAATGCCAATCAATATGATGTTGCTAAGTTCTGGAGTGATATTTCAGTAAGATTATTCTATTCTGTAACTGTAAATATCTTTCATTAGCATTAAATTTAAATACCACCAAACGTCTTCTTTTTTAGAGCATAGTGCCTGAGGTTGAGCAAAAGAGGGTTACTGATTTGTTTAGGTTTTTGTAAAGAAAGCTGAGCTTGTAACAGGCCTTGGCGAGTAAGGACCTTGTTTCTAGGGAAAGGTATTCTAGATGGGACAAAAGCATAGTCAAGGGCATGGAGTTATGAGATCAGGAGAGATGCATAGGGATTCACAGAAGGTCTGTGGGAGGCTTGCATGAGAAGGTTCCTACCGAAATGATGTGTGGACCAACTTTTGCATGTGAAGAATAAAGCATAATTTGACAAGGTTTGGAGAACATTTTGAAACTTTTAAAATCCGTGTATGTGTGCACGCATGTGCCTGTGCCACAGCATGTGTGTGATCAGAGGACACTTGCAAGAGAGTTGGTTTTTCCCTCTGATGGAGTTTGAGGATCAGACTAGGGTCATCAGGTTTGGTGGCAAGCACCTTCACCTGCCAGGCCATCTTGACAACCTCATTCAGTTTAAACCGAGGAGGATAATGTGATTAATATGATCAAATGTATGCATCTGGATGACAAATTTCAAAGCGGGTGTAGAATGATTGACGTGAATGTTAAGGGGAGGCAGAGAGGAAACTTGGAAAGTTCTTACAAGTAGCTGAGATGAAAGTGAGCTACAGTGAAAGAGGGACAAGGCGGGGAACACTGGGTTAACTGATTGTCCACAATACAGCGAGCGGTCAAGGATCTCTTCACTTTCAGGGAGAAAGGATAGGGATAAACAAGGAAGGAATAAGGGATATAATGTATGAAATAGAATAGGAAGAAATTTATTTTAAGTGTGGAATAGTTTTGAAGATGAAGGTAAGGAATTTTGCTTGTTTATAAATCCATCATTTCATCTATCTAGCCACCCATTTCATTCAGCCACCCACCCACCCATCCATCCATCCATCCATCCATCCATCCATCCATCCATCCATCCA